GGACCAATCAGGTACCGTGTAATATGTGCGCGCGTTGTGATTGGTTGTCTAAAAATAGATTATCGGGACATCTGATGGTGGCGATACCAATGCGGAGATGGACACATCTGGTTATGTACTTCTGGCCACACTGGTCTTTTTAAGGGAAATAATCAGTTTAGGTTACTTCATGTGTAGTTAATTATATCCATTTTGAAATCACAAGTGAATCCTGAAATCTGATTGGTTCTTAGCAGGTTGATTTCAGCCTAAATCGCACCATTTTTAATTCTTAATCGCACTCCTTTGAGGAGCCAATCACAATGCAAAACAATTAAAAGGCAACCAATCACATTACAGGATTGTGTGTGGTTAACCAATCAAACTACAGCAAAAAGGACACAAAATAAATATTTTTTTTTGGTTTTACAGCAAATTTTGAATGAAAATGTATGTGCAAATTGGATTATTTCAGTTCTTACTTACAGTTTTAGATGACAATGTGTACTATCTCAGTGCAATTTTTCATCATTTGCTACTTCTAAACCCTGACTAAAGTCGATAATTTACAGTCCAAAAATGTCAAAAATGTTCCCGAAGTTCATGTAGCTCAGTTTGCAACTGCAACACAAACAATTCAAGCCCGTCTATGAATGAAGATTTCCAGTGCTTATAAATTATGCAGACATCCTTAGGCTTCAGGTCACTAATAAGAACAAAGACAGCAACAAAATGTTGATAAATATTCTCGTTCACGAGTCGCCGTCTTTATTGTCAAGCACGTAAAACTTTGACAACATTTTATGTCAGTTCTATGCTAGAGTAAGAATTTAAGAAGTCGACAACTAGCAAACAGAATCAGTAAGGCAGATACCAAGTTCCTCTGACCGCTCTTTGAAGGAGAAATGCAACAACTTAAGGATTGTGAAGGCGAGGAAATTCTCTTTTTTTATGTAAAAGACTTTTTTGACATCGTTCAGCTAGAGTTGTTTCTTTCCTGCGTTTGTTCAATGAGTGTTTTGATGAGGCCCTCCAAGGGGTTTTATGTATCAAGAGAGATGATTTTTGTTGGGGATCAGCAAGGGAGTAAGAGTTTATTTAGGGGATCAGGGGAYAGAAGGAGATTGTTAAGTCAACATCAATTATAAACAACTGGATTTTACGACATTTTACCATGTTTTTACACTTTATGGAATTTACGGCGCTAATAATGCATATTGGAGTTCCTGTGGTGAAAGATTCGTGCTCAACTTTACGGACCTGGTGTCTAGCTGAGCATGAATGCTAGAAAGTGCGTAATATTCTAAGATGGATTTTGGTGGAGATGTGGCAGGTAGAGATGGAATTAATGACTGTACTTTATTTTGGGAGACTTCCAAAAATATTTTAGGGATCAAGGGAGAAATTGTAGAATTGTCTAGGATGGAGAGGTCTCGTTGATAGTTAAACTCAATTTAAAGTTAGTTTATGAACTTGAATGTCAGCTTATCGACGAAACGAAATTCATCTAACCAATGCTTCGAGAGTTTTATAGTCGGTGAAGGAACATATCTG